TTTATTTACAGTAAAACACTTTTTGTTATATTCCATGGTAATGACTCTTAACATCCCGATAGCAATGAATATATTAAATGCTTTGACAATAAATACATACAAAATTAATCTCTGTAAGCTGTAGTACTGTAAAAAGCACGACCAATCATCTGAGCCGGCCCGGCTAAAGTAACTGGATGGCCTACCTGCCTGTCAGCCTTCCATCTGTGCACAAATTTATCTCGTGCCCTCATTGATGATGCGCGTTCGTGTGTGTTGGAGGAGGGGCTCTGTAAGGAAGTCTGAAGGAAGGGGCAGATTTTTTCCGGCTGTGTATTTTCAAATTCTAGCGCACTCGAGCTGGTTTCTCCATTCTTACCTACCCTACCTTTAACTATTTTTAGGGTGCAGCTACAGGTTTTATTTATTTCAAAGTGGGCCCATTTTAATAATATTTGTTTACCTTCAAATGTGCAGAGGACTCCCCAATTGCTGTGTTTAATTTATTTTAAAGTAGGCCTGTGTATTATTTTTAATTCTCCTTAGGAGTTCTTTGTTTCTTATTAGAGGTTAACAGTTTTATATAATGTAATAAATAGCCTAATAAATGCAAAAAAACTGTAGTTTTTGTCTGATATAACAATAAATACAACTTTATTAGCTATCAAGCTATGAAATATGTTTTGCGGCTCCAGACAAAAAAATGTTTTGGAAAAAGGAGCAAAATTGCTCTTTTGGTCAAAAAGGTTGCAGACCCCTGGGTTAGAGCAATGCAAATATTCGCATGGCGTCCATTGTGAACGCAGCATAATGCAGTTCAGAAACCACTGTTCTGACGCTTTTAAAGCAACTTTTAACAGTGTGAGGGGCCCAAAGCCCATGGTGGCCGTAGGACGTACAATTATTTGTGGGGCATAACGGCCAGACCGAGGGGCTACGGCCGTCATGGCCGCCGTGAAAATCCCACCCTGTATGTGAGCGTGAAACTGTTCCTGTGAACTGGAGATGCCATGGCTGGACGCCACAGCTGCTCCAAGACATGAACAAGGGGAGTAATTACTGTATAGTGTACTTACATGGGGTAGGAGGTCAAATTACACTCTTTTCACTGCTATAATTGGAGACTTCATATACCTTCTCTGAATGATCAGAGTTTGGATTGTAAGGTCCTGTGGAAGCCTTAAAATTAATAGCATTTAGTCTAAATTCAATCTTACACTGATGAACTATAGAATGCATTTTTCAAAACAGCACAAAGTTGCAATCAAAATCCCTTCTTTATTAGTATGCGTTAAACAAAAGCAAGGTTTCTGTAATTTGTGTGAGTTGTTTTGACAGTAAAAATCTCAAGAGGAAAACATTTTATTTCCGAATGTATTGGCTTGTTAGCATTTGATGCAAAAAAACTCATTGCCTGATCCTGCATCCACAACCACCCTCACTACGAGGGCATATTGTAGGAACATATGGAGAGAGTGATGAGTTTTGTAAAATGTAGTGAGTGGAGCTTTCCAGGTCTAATATAATGTGCATTGACATCAGAGTCATTGCCACTCATCCTCTGCAGGGAGACATGAGGTGACATTTTGACTCCAAGGATGCATGTCTGTTCATTTCTAGTCTCTAAAGCCTAACCCTGATCTGTTTAACATCTGTCCTCACTCTTTAACTTCTGCTTCCCTTTTATATTAGCCTCTATCGAGACAGAATGTCTTATGAAACATATTGTGTGCAAAACTACAGGATCACAATTGAAGATATCAAGAGGGGGATTTATTTTTCAAATGTGAAGACTAGAGTCTTAACGAGACAGCACATGCAGCATGGAGTTTTGCACCCCGGGCTGGGAAAGCTCCCAGAATATCAGTTTGGGATGAAGTGTATCAGATACTTTAGTTAAAAGTAGAATAACCACACTGTTACAGTACTCTAACACAAGAGCAATCCTCCATTAAATATTCTATTAGAATAACGTTTCGAGGCACAAAATACAAATATGAACCCGAAAAAGAGCATAAAAAGGACCCTTTGAATGAACAACCAATAAATGATTAGTTGGATGAAAAACGTCTTGAACATGAAAAGTATATTAAATAGGTACATTTCAAAGTAATTCTGTACAGATACCCGTTGAGCTAGCTTGTATTTACCACTCATATGGTGTCTGCCTGTTAAATGCTGTATTTCCTGTTTGTTCTATAGTGCATTATCCAAAGCACCTTGAATTGCCTTTATTTATAAAAATGTGTTATATTACGAAATGATTTAACTTGCCTTTTATAAATTCAAGTCTCATCTGATAATATCAACTCATCTAATTGGTTATTAATCATTCTGTTTAATGTTATGTTTGCTGTTGTTTTTCTGGTATGTTTTAATGTCATGTCCAGTTCATCTTTCAAAAGGAAGGAACCCTTATCAGAAATGTCTGTTTATATTACGTGTTTCAGTGGCAACATTTGAAACATTGGCCCTGATTTTTGTAACTCCTAAATATCAATATTGGCATTGGCCTAAGAACTCCATTCTCAGCACTTGGCTTGCAACCAAATTAGTGCTAATTGCTATGCAAACAGACTTTTAATGTCAGGCGTCTTTCTGAATAAAACATGAGATGTTGACGCAAGTCATTGACTACTAGGGGTTTGCGACAACACATTCAATCAGGGTAATTTGTGCAGCACATTGAAAATATTTCACAACAAAGTATTTTCCTAGTAATTAGAGTGCAGACATTCAAGGTCAGAGGACAGTCATATTATGCTTGTAGCAAGCTGACAAACTACTAAAAAGGATTTTTTATGATGGCTGCCGGAGATTTAACTGATTAGCTGTGAGATTAGATTGGATGCGAGCTGATTGGAGTTACACAACACATGTTACACCCCACAGTTAGGAACTGTCGGATGGAATCCTTCACGGCGGCAGAGTGGACAGCTTCAGGGATTCAGCATGTCTGATCAGAGTGTGTGTGGTGAGGGAAGAGGTGTTACTCAGTCACGTCTTCTACCCACATTTCAAAATTAGCCCCAGAGCACCCATTAAAACTTCAAACCACAACCCTACCATTATGAAATATGTGAATAATTTGTAGTTTTTCCTCAAAGGCCTGACTGAGGACCTCATTAATCTACTGCAGGACTGCAAGGCAAGTCCTGGGTAAAAGTTTTACTAAACAAGGTAATCTTTCAAGGAAAATGTCAAACACTTTTTGAAATGAACTCCAAAATGTGAGGATTTGTCTTTTCTCTTTCATTTATGATAGTAAATGTTAATCAATTTAGGTTTTGTACTGTCAGGTTGAATGCAGTAATAGAGGAATTTGAAGATATCAGTATGGGCTCTGGTGATTTAAAATGGTAGTTTCTCAACGTATTATTGATAAATTAATTTAAAAAAAAAAGAATCAGCAGATCAACCGATGAATAAATGATTTGCAGTTGCAGCTTGTCAAGTGATAACGAAAAGAAAAGCATGTTATATATCACAGAAACAAGGTTTATCACATATCCAAGGTGCTAAGAGTGATTAATATGTGGCAGGTACCTCTGTAGGAAGCGAGGGTAGGTCTGTCTGTAGGCGAAGCCGGCACGCCGCACTCTGACGTTCTCCAGCAGCCCGAGGTACTCCACCTGGTGGCGGCAGCGCTCCTGCTCGAACAGGAGAGGCGACTTCACCTCGTTGGGCTTGATGCAGCGCACATAGTAGGGTTCCTAGAGTGGGAAACTGTGTTAATATCTAACTGAATATGTTTTATTTCTGATGCAAAATTCAAGACTTTGTTCTGGAACTCTCAGGCATGTTATTTTAAAATGTAAGGGTTCGTGTGTGTTTAAAACAAAGGGTGTATCATCCAGACTGCTCACCTTGCAGGCCAGGTTCTCCACCAACATGATCATGGAGTTTTTGAAGAGCGTTGCAGCAGTTAGTGGCCGTTTGGTGACCTCATTGATTCTCAGTTTGCCTTCAGGCCACATGCACTTCAATACTGGGTTAGAGCTGTGAACATGAAAGGAAGAGTTGTATAACTAGATATTAAAACACTTTAATGAGCATTGAGTAACAAAATAAAGAAATAATCAGTGTTTCTCTACTGATGTACGCTGCCACTAAGATTGTTTCTCTGATTGTTATCAATGTGGTTAAAAACTATTAAGATTCAAATGTGTATCCTAAAGTTGGATAAAAAGTTAGTTTATGAAGAGTGATGAGTTTATGTCAGACAACAACAACAAGAAGGAGATACATTGCCAAAAATTGAGACAAAATGTGAGTGTATTGTTAACGTAAAACTAGCACTGCAATAATTCATTAATATAATATATTCCCTAGGTTTTAAAAATGTATACTCTTAATACAGCACCAACCCAAATACTGTAGGTTTTCCCATTAGGCTATTAGCACCCACGTTAAAACATTTCTGGCTGCTATCCAAATTGTCTCTTAGGAGTAAAGAGTATCATAAAATGCACATTAAACAGGTCAGGTCAGTTACTAGACCTCACATTTATATTCAGCGGAGGAAAAACACCAGGGAGAGGAGCAGGATATAAGCCTGCTGAAAGGAGATTAGTTGTACTTGTGCTGCACTGTTCGTTCCAGAGCATAGTCATGTACAGTGATGCCAGGAATACAGAGAATAAAGTGTGTGATTGAAGAGGTGTGTATTACTCTGTGTGTTTTTTGATTGTGTCACCTGTTGTACAGCAGCCTCTTGAAATCCTGGAACAGAGTGTCTTTGTTCTTATCAATGAAACCCACCACTGAGTACCTGTGGAGAGAGGGAGGCAGGTGAATAAATGTTCGCAAAAACACATGTCTTGCTTATTGTTCTGACAAGTAACAGCATTACTATGATTATGTTGACCTTATTCTATCTCTAGATGATCTTTTTATTTACACTTGGCCACTTTTTAGGTACATTTTTCCAATCCTGCCACCAGAACAACCGGAAATGTTTATTTTCTCCGTGCTGAGGTGATGGCATTACACATTTGCTGGAGATTTGACGGCTGCTTATTCATGCTGTGAATCTCCTGCAACACAACTAAAAGTGCTGCCTTATCAGATTGAGATCTAGTGGCTATGGAGGCCATTGGAGTACCTTGAACTCAGTGCCATGTTGGTGGAATCAGAATGAGGTAAGATGTACCTGTGAGACGTTATTCACTGCGTGGTGCATTTGTTGTAAAATGTCCATTAAAGATGGGCAGTATGTGTGCATAAAGGGGTGCACATGGCAAGCAACAAAACTCAGGGTAGGCTGTGCATTTTAAAATAAGGCTTGATTGGTATTAAGGGTGTGCCAAGAAAATGTCTTCTTCACCATAAGACCAATAAAGAACATTTGAAATTCACCAAACAAGGCAACAATTGTTTCCAGTGCGAGCTAGTTCAGACTGTGGCATTGCTTTTCTTATTTGAAAGGAGAGGAACTGGTGGTGGTCTTCAGCGGCTGTAGTCCATCACTTCCAGGTTTAATGTGTTGTGTGTTCACAGATGTTGTACTGCTGCCATGCTTTTTGAGTTACCGTCGCCTTCCGGTCAACTTAGACGGGTCAGGTCAGGCTATTCTCCCCTGATTTCTCCTCTGAAGACCGTTGTACGTGAAAATCCGAGGACATCTCGGAAGAGTTTCTGAGACACTCAAACCCCTTTGTGTGGCACCACAAATCCTTGCAAAGTCAAAGTGACTTAAGCTGTGTTTCCACTTCATGGTAAGGCTCTGCTTTGCATGACTCATTTTGAGGAAGAGGTAATTATTTATTGTGTTTCAATGCACCCCTACCAGGGTGATGAGGCATGAAATGCTGTGACACCATCTACAACTGGTAACACGCTGCGTTACAAAGGAACGTATTGTCCTGTGTTGCATTGGTGCATTTCTCTGACCAATCATTGGTCTGCAGTGTATTAACTTCACCCCCTAATACTGTATAAACTCGCTTGGAACTTCCATTGAGGTGGAACAAAAACATACAATATCATCTGCTTTCCTCAACTTTTGCGTGTGAAAAAATATTTTAAAAAGAATCAAGTTCTGTATAGCTGCATGCCGTACCATCTATTGAAAATGTGGTATTACAGTAGATTCTGACATCTGGCATTAACAAGTGAACTTCTTGTCCAGGTCTGATTACTACAGGCATTGAGTGTCTTGACAGATAGTTGGCTGATCATATAATAGCATAACAAAACAGCTAGGTGTACAACTGCACTTAATAAAGTGGCCACTGGATGTTTAAATTGTGGTTTCCATGAATCTAAATATAAGTTGGACCTTACAGCCTCCTGTAAACGTTAATGTGTGCTGTTAAGCTATAAAAGCAGAGCTGCAGCATCCCATGCTGTGTGTTGTGAGCAGCCCTCTGCCTGCTATAAGTAGCTCAGGGATCAATCACGCTGCCAGTCAGGCTCCTATGGCTGAGTCCTCCCCTGGGCAGCAGACACTAGACAAATGAGCTCAACACGTTTGAGAGCCCTTTTTGGAGGCTTATCGTGTGTTATTTATTCATTTGAATGGTACCCAAGTACTTTGGGGCATTGGGAAGTGGTGCTGTCATTTTGGGAGACAGCCTGCTATGAAGATGATGTTAAAATGTTTGCATGTGTGCTCCAGTTGTGAATATTAAGTGGGGGCCAATTGTTGGCATTGATGGTGGTCATTTTAATGAAATTCATTTGTGTTTTATTGCTACTGTTCAGAATACAATGCCAACCTATGTGTGTGCACTACGATGACTCTACATTAAGCATTTCAACATGTTACAAAGTTTCATTTCTTTCAAACAAAAATAAAATAAATATATACATAAATACAAAAATACAACATCAATCAATTATAGAAACATCATCCACACACCGACCCATACTTTTGTAAAACTCTTACGATGTGGGAAGTAGGTGTTTTGATGTTGTTTATACCTATGGCAGAAATGGTTTGCTTCTAAAATGTTGATGCTTAGATAGAATGTATTCAGTATATACTACTTCAGACTTCAAGTAAGCATTTTAAAAACACCATTTTTAAAACATCTGTTGGAAAAACCGTGTTCCACCAAAAGTGTGTATTACTACTTACTTGTGCCATAATGCAACTGTAACTACAGCAAACGATGATATCACGGTGTACTGAGGGTAAAGAGTTTTTTCAAAACCATCCTTTTGAAAACAAATATTTTTGTGAATGAGTGGTTCTCCCACATCCCCAAAAAAACATCAAGTTGAATTAGGAAGCCAAACTCCCATGTGCTCTCTAAGCTGCCAAAGTACACGACTGTGATTTCAGTAGGCAGTTAGGTGGAGAAATTCAAAGGGGTATGGATGTAGGAAAAGAGCATGAATCACAGTTAAAAGCTTTTACGGAGTAGATCAAACTGAGAGACACTTACACCACATCTCCTGCGTAATGGCGGATGCGGAAGTCGCGGTCAAACTCCAGACTCTTGTCCGTGGGTGAGAGCTGCAAAGAGACAGACAAAGAGAGTGAGTCAGCTATTATAAAACATCTCAGAATAAAGTATGTAAAGAGCAAAGAGATACTGTATACTTAACAACACATTTTTTTCACTTGTTCTGCTTTTTCAAAAACAATAATGTTCCTCCTTTGCCTGATGCTGTCTTGTACTGATCACTTCGAACTGAATAATGTCCAACCATGAATGTCATTTATAATAAATAAATACATATAAATATGACGCATCTTCCAGCAAACTTCCTTTTACTGTATGATGAATAAAGGACGAGAAACCACATCTGGTTTCTAAATGTTGACCATTAAAGTTACGTCAATAGTATTGTTTATGTGCTGTAGATAAAAAGGTATTTCCATACTTAGACAGATCTATGAATAATTTACACAAGTTTCCAAAGTATCACCTTAGAGCCTGCATGATGTTTTGACCTTTCTTGTATGAATGTCATGATTATGCATAACATCGTTATGTCATCATGTCTTCATTAGCAGCTGTTTAGCAAATAAAATGACTACAAACAATGATTATAACGCAAAAGCAACGATATGTGCAATTCAGCCAGAAGAGATGGATATATTAAACTAAGAAAAATGATTTGAAAATAATTGTAATTTGGCTGTATTTAAGGTTTTCTCTTTTCTTATGTTGACATTCAAAGATGATAGCTCATCTGGAAAAAGTTTTCAGTTCGAGCAATATCATAGGAATGGTGTTTGATCAAGAGTAGGTCATAGTTTCTAAACAAATGTGACAATAGGACCGCTACACTTTAGTAGAGGAGGAAAAGCATGACCTTGTAGTCAGTAACCAATGTAGCTTTAACTGTGTTGTTATTAATATTTGGAAGGAACTGTCATACGCTTCAGAATCGTCCTGCTTGGATAGATTGGGTGAATTGTCCTTCTGAAAAATGTTGAAATATGGAAACGCAAACAAACAATCCAGATTCTTAAGCATCCATTTTTCATTTCTCTATCCTGGTTCATGATTTGCAGAACTGCAAGGGCAACTGCAGGCCAGATGCAGTGGGGCAGAACACACTGTCAGGGTGGATAAAGTATCACAGAAGAGATGAAGCGACGAGGGAGAGCAAAAGTGGAAGGAACATGCAAAAGGAGATGAAAAAAAAAAAATCAAGAAGGAGACGAGGACTGAGTAAAAGGGAAGAGAGATGAATGAATTGTGATGGGAAGAGACATTAACAGATAAAGAGCGTGTGTGCGCGTGTGTGTGTGTGTGCGCGTGTGTGTGTGTGTATGTGGGATAGTGATCCCTGTATGTAGGTCAGTTAGCAGGAGCACTGGGAGGGGAGAAGCATGAATGAAAAAGAGTATCACAGGTTCTCATGAGCATCCAGATCTGCAAACCTGCCAATGACAAGTACGTTTGTGACGTGTTGTGCAGCGTCGTAAAGTAAAGTCTGTGTGTGTGTTTCACTAAATGAATTATACAGACATGAGATACTGTATTATTAGAGGGAGACATAAGTGTAAAGGGGATCCAGTACTCTCATAACAATCCCAATGAGAGAGACGTGATTAGCATATCATATCAGAGGGCAGCAGCGAGATAAAACTCATTTCAACAAGGAGGAGAAAAAGACTGATGTCCGAAGGGTAATACAGATAAAGGAGTGGTTCAACATAATTAGCATAGAGACATCAAACCTGGCAACCTCACTGCAACGAAACAGACCTGTAATGTTGTGAGGCTGTTAAGAGGTGCTGGTAGGGTCAGGTTTTTTTACTTTAAAACAAAGCTAGGCTAGTTTTTCCCTAGTCTCTAGTGTGTATGCTAAGCTAGTCTCCCCACGTCTTGTCTTTAGCTCCAAGCTTGAACAAACATTTTCAGAATGATTTCTCCAATGCTACAGCAGACAAGTATATGTCAGACAATAGTGACCATACGACTTTTGCAACAGTTTGTTTGGATTTGTTCTTGTTTCAACCATGACAATACCATACTGTAGCTTCAATAACAAATCCTGGCCTTAAACCCATCCAACATCCTTTGGATAACACCCTAATATATTTTGTTTGGTTACATTTAAGAAAACCTCATGAACAATATTCCTAGATATTTGGAGGCCGGAATTACAGCAGAATAATGATCAAGGTTTTAGAACAAGACGTTACTATAGTAACATAATGTTGAAATGTGTTGGTGTCCACATACATTTGGCCACAGAGTATTGCATCAACCCGGAAAACTGTTGAGAAGAAAGAAAAAAAAAGCCAACAATCAAAACTTTAACAGCAACATTCCTCTCCACCTATGGTCCCGTCCCCCCCCCCACCCCCCCCACTTTACCTACTGGTAGCCTGATATGTACAGTAGCTAACTAGTCTCAACCTATTGTTTACTCCTCGCCAAAAAAGGTGTTACTAAGAAAATAAATTTCTACATAGAACCCGTGGTGCACGGAAAGAACACCTGCTGTCGCTTAGACTTGCCTCTCTGTCTCTCCAAAGGGGGGGGGGGGGGGTGTACGGCCGTGGTACTAGGTCCCCGACCTAGGTTTGGATCCAGAGGACGAACCGGTCTCGGGGGGTCAGTACCCCGTGGCGGTCGGAGTAGGGTTAAAGAAGTCTTGTACAAAATCTCTAAACCGCCAAGGAGTTACAGGTGTTTGTTTGAGGTGTTAACCGATTATACTGTGTCAGCAGGACGGGGACCAAAGGCACCGGAGAGGAACACGACCACAATTATAAATGTGCGAGTTATAACAATTGTTTGCAGTCTGGTGACATTTTCCGAAGGTCACCTGACTAGTCGACTAGTGGAGTGAGGTACAAGTCTTAGACGCTCAAATAGGCAACTTAGGTAGTATAGATGAAAATAAGTCCTATAAGAAAGAAATGTGTAAACCTTAGTCGCTACAAGTCTGTCATAAACTTCCCTCCAATATGCGGACCGACGGTGACAGCACATAGACGAAGAGTCTGGTGTTCCGCTAAACTGTCAACCTAGTCACCACCCACAAAATCGGAAGAGGCGGGAAATGACCGATGTTTACAACCACAAAAAAAACTAAGTAATTCACTCAACACCATGAACCGGTTACGACGTCGAAAACATCTTGAAGTACCAGGTGTGTACAGGACTTGTGCGTCGATAACGAACTTGTTTTCTTATTAGCGTGGGTCTCACACAGGAGGACACCGGGAAGTTAATGATATCAGATTTCACCCCCATCACCGGGGGACACTTTCGGACCAAAAAAAATAGGACGGGTACATAGAATTCTGGCCAGTGTCAGTGGAGCGTTCGACTTCCACTTTTACGTGTCTTCAATACAATAGTATGTGGGAGGATCAGTGAAATTGTGCCCACGACGATTGTGGAGCACATGCGACTCACCAAGGACCGAATTTATATAATATGTAGAGAAGTCAGATGTAGTTTCGTTAGAGTGGAGAGAAGAGCGGAGAGAACTGTAAAACAGAAAGTCAACAAGAGCGGGTAGAGTATTGTTTTTTATACAAGGATAGAGGCAGGTTTACTTCTGACTGTAGCCAGAACGGAAACGTATATGTATTAATAATATAAGGAATTTTATTGTGGGAACGGGAACAGAAACATTGATGTATAAGATGAGGTTCGGTTAAGGAAAAAGGTGTACACAGTGAATGCGGAAAAAAAAACTGAACCTGATTCAGGATCACAGTCGAGTCCAGGTAATACCCGGGAATTTCTACATAAAGAATGAAGAGAATGTGAATGAGACAACTAAGCGGAAAGTGCATTACGCACTTGGGATACTTTGTATCAGGGTTGACTTCAACAAAGTTGTCAGATTCTGAGACTACAGATCAAACAGTTGCGGTATTTTACGATTGCCTATAAGCCAATTCTATACTATAATTTGTCTCTTCTCGTCCTGTCGAGAGGTTTCATGCTGAATTTCTTTCCGTAAATGAGGCGGTATAAAGAACTTACTAATCCACTTTTACATTCGCTAATAGTTTAGATAGGTAGTAGTATCCTAAATTCTCTCAGATTTTGTAACATGAACTAGAACAACAAAGGGTTCGGTGTTTGTCCGGTCTTTTGTTCTCTATAAATTGATTGTTACTAATGTTTTTGACTTTTTCGTTGAAATAAATTCTGCGCCGACAAGACCGGACAAATCGATCTTGTGGTAGGAAGATAAACTTTAAGAAAATGTAAAGACTCTAAATTATTTGTAATTCGGTCAGGTTTTAGACCTTATTTATGACAGGTAGTTTTTTTTCGCCACATGATATTATAGACAGTCCTTATGTAAGAGAGTATATTTATTCGAACTATTTATAACCCATTTGCAAATAAACTAGGTTAATTAATTATACACCACACCACTGAGAAAATTTCGGGTAGATACTTATTAAGAGGTCGGCGGTCGTCCCGGAGAGAAGTAAACCACTAAGAGTCGGACAACTCATCCGAATATATTTTCAGGGTTATAAATACATATACTTTGTATTAGTAATCACATTCACTGTCTTTCTCGGTCTGGGTCCTCGTCCTTTGTAACTTTTACTCATACTTTTCATCGTCTCCTTTTCCTTATACAAATGTATTTAAGTTGTGGACACCTTAGATACAGTCGTAAACATAGGCCCGTCCTGACACCACACACACACACGACCACACACACACACACACACAACACACACACACACACAACACACACAACACACACACACACACACACACACACACACACACACACACACAACACACACACACACACACACCAACACACACACCACAACACACACAACACACACACCACACAACACACACACGACACACAACCACCCACACACGCACACACACAATCTCACCACTGACTAACATACCTCTCCAGACACACCGAAAGGTCGTCTAGGTCCGGACAGGAAAGACTGCCACGCAGACAACAGAGCGAGACACAAACAAAGCCACACGTAAAGTACACAAACAAAACGACGTTCACACTCAGTTATAAATAGGAACTTTTACACTAACACAAGAATTAAAGAGATGAAATCAATGAAGGGGATTAGACCGTGTCAGGTGTAGAGGTTGTGTCCGACCTTATGTTTAGAACTCATAACTCTGTAATAGGGATAGTAATAGGAGATTTTCGATTTTTATATTGTAATAATGCAATTATTAGAGTGTTTATTTTACAGAGCAACACACAAACGAGTATTAGACACGTTTTTTTGCAAGTCCCTTATAATGACCTTCGTGAAAGTTAGCGAAGTCTCCAAAAGATCTTAGAGGTCTTCTCCATGTATAAAATAAACTACACAAGAGGAACCTAGACGGTGTCTAAATGAATCCCCGGGGCTACACCAAACCTAGGTCCGGAAAACCTAGACTAGTTCCGGACTGACTATCTAAATCGAGGAGACTACCATTTAGCGACAGACAGAAGAATCCTCCGAAAATAATACAAAAGCGTTATAAAAGCTTTGAATACGTCTTAACCAAGGAAGACAGTGAGCAAACGGAATTCTCAGGGAGGTGTTACTCAGTGAGGTTATAACAGTTGTTTTTTCTCTCTCGTTTGCATGACAGTACGGACTACCTNCCGTTTTGTCTAAACGTCTCCAACGCCTCTGGCTCCAGGTACAATGTCTGGCAGTTAGAGGAGTGGCTGGCGGAGCGGGAAATGTCCGACTGCGGAGCCTGGCTCCGCAGTCGGACATTTCCCGCTCCGCCAGCCACTCCTCTAACTGCCAGACATTGTACCTGGAGCCAGAGGCGTTGGAGACGTTTAGACAAAACGGAGGTATAGCAGAGCAAAGTCAAACCTGACATCTGTGCTGTGACACCAGAGACATTCTTAAGCATCATTAAAGAACTCCTCCCTACTCAGAAAAGGAGTTTACTCCATGGTTCTCCAGGAAGCAAGCATTCTGCAAATAACTGTTATCTTTTTACAGGATCTTAGTTGTTGACTCCACTGTGCATGATGTTTTTGTTCAGACTCATTTATGAACAACCTCACCATTGGGTGTCTGAGAAACAAGGAGCAGCACACCTCAATCCAAACCCTCCCACTTCTCTCGTTGCATTAAATAAAGTAACGACAGGCCAATGAGCATTCTGTGCAGTACCTGATCTGCAGGCCTTTACTCCAGGAGCACATTTCCTTCCGCAGCAGCAGGTTGTTGAGTGTGACCGCACAGATGATGTAGAACTGCTGCTTGACCAGCTGTTTGATGAGCTCCAAGTCCATCCCGTGTTGACACATGGTGGTGTAGAAGAGGCCGAGGCGCTGCAGCAGGATCTCCACGGTTACAGCCGCCTCTGAGGAACTGCTGCTCCTCTTCCTCAGGCCGGTGGTTGGAGCCCAGAATGCCTTGGATGGTTTCGTGCTCCAGCATGCTAGCCACTGCACATAAGAAACAGAACAAATACATGTCATGATGTGGTTATGGAAAGGAGAAGGAAACAAGACGTGTTGTGAGACATTCTCACCGATCAGGGGCTGCATGTTGTTCTCTGTGCATTTGATGAGCTGCCGGTAGATTTGGATAGCTAGATCACCAAAGACCTGCTGGTACTCCGACAGCTCAAAGTTGGCGAGGCACTGCTCATTCTGCTTAGGAGTGTTGTGTGTTATGAACACCTATATGAAGAGGATGTACAGACGTCCAGGGTTAAGTAAGGCAAATGTACAGCTGTGAATATATCTGTGGTATAAAGGCTTACCTCGTCTCCACTGTACTGCTTCAGACAGTGCATTAGTCGGCATGTGTTGGCCAGCCAGAAAGACACCCTTTCAAAATCATGTCCTTTCCTCTATGGAAGAAGATTACAAATGAATTCAAATCAAAGCATCCCTTAAGTTTCTTTCCACAAATCAAAAAGGTATATACCCCACCTTTATGACCCCCTTGATGCTGCTGATGGTGGAATTGAGCAGCGTGCTGACTCTCTGATCGTCATTCACATTGTCTGCATATCGCACGCACATGAAGATGATGTAAGCCGGAAGGCCAGGAATGAAGTTGACCGCTACGCCACGTGGCTTCAGATCTGAGAAGGTTTGAAAGCAAAATTCACAAATGTGTTTTCAATCTTATTTATTTAATATTGTTTACATTACTTTGTATTTATTTTTTCCTTCTTATTTCTTTTCATCGTTATGCGGTTTGATTATTATTTTAGCCCTGGAAATTGCCTTGTAATATTTGTATTGGTGTATGAGTGCATTTGTGTACTTATACACCTGAACATATGGTGCTTATGTATATTCTGTGTATGTGTGAACAAAAAGTCACTTGAAAATAAGTGCTCACAATGTTTATATGCATATATTATTATTATTTATTTGCCAAGTACATGTGTACATATATATTTTTATATATAGTATTTTCCTTTTCAAAAAAGATAGTCAACTGCTATTGACATGTGCAGAAAATGACCCTATATCTAGTTTTCATATATGCATTTTTTTTTTTTCCCCAGTTTTCTTTATTTCTTTGTACTCCTTTATTTCTATACGTTTTTGACGCAATAATGCCAATGTTATATTAGGATGATTCACGGGAGGGTTACTTCCCATAAGCTATGCTTCAGCCCTCCTGCTTCTACTAATTTTGTTTATCTTTGTGTGTATGAACTATATTTTTTTCTCTTTTGGATGAATTAGTAGAATAAATAAAATAAAAATAAATCTGTGAAAAACATTAGCCTGTCATTTTAACCCATTCATAAAATGGTTTCCTTTAACATACCTGAGACCAGATTCTTGAGCAGGCGGCTCTCGTCGCCCCCCCTGTACTCCAACATGCCCCGGTACTCTTTCTCCTTGCGGGTGATATTCACCGCTCGGTGAGGAGCAGTCATCACGGCGGTCTTATTACTCTTTTGCTGTGAACTCGCTAAAAACCACACAGACACATTATAAGAAAGCCAGGGGGTTATGACGTACGAGTTATTTAGAAAATGCGCTGTATGAGAACAGTCGACGTGAATACCTTCAACATCTTCAACTTTTTGGATATAACATTTGAGATCTCTTTTCAGCTGGCGCATGGTTTGGTTCTGTTGCTCTTGCTTCTTCATGAGTTCCTAAAATGAAGTAAACATAGAGGTTAAGTCTGTGTACGACACTTTAACGGTGCTCATGCTTATACAAATGTGAAATTAAAACGTCTTAAAATTGCAGCATTGTGAATTATTTTTAAAAGTCTTAAATCAAAACACTTCAA